CAATCTATTCATCTTCAATCATGGCAGTACAACGAATGCCAGAAATAAAAATTACATCCAGATTCGTAGACCACCTAGCGACGACTACAAGCACCGAAGCGAGCCGAAGGCGCGCCGCCGTCATCGCCCCTCCATCGCCGGAGCCGGGCACAACTTGTTGTAGTAGACAGTCGGAAGTCGTCGTGCTAAGGCCCCATAGGACCAGCACCCCAGAACAGCAACCGCCGCCGATGGAAAATAACGTAGATCGGAAGGATCCAAACCGAAGACACACGAACGTAGACGAACAACGACGAGATCCGAGCAAATCTACCAAAGATAGATCTGCCGGAGACACACACACATATATATATTACTCAGGGGGGTTCAACTGAAGTTTGAGTGTTACAGAGTTACAAGGGTGCATCGTTGCGTAAGTATATGTATCAGCGACATGACATAGCGTGTGCCTTTTGACTAGGATATGGAAACCTATGAGTCCAATGAGTGAAATCATCAAAAACAATTACGAACAGTCAAACTAGAGGGGCCCGACTCATTGCGGGAGACCTTGGCGTTATGTGACTCCCAACTATTCCATAGTATGGCGAGTAGGGCAGTCGTCCAAATGTGCAAATTGAGCCTCAGGGAGTAGCAACATCCCAAAGCATGTGCACTGAATCTGGAGCGTCGGCAGAGAATGAACATGTGTAGTGCGTCTTCCACGAGCGCGGAGCATCTTGGGACGATGTTGTTTTTTCGCAAGTGCTTGTGCAAAAAGATCCGCCTCGGTGTTGAGCTTGTCGCGGGAAGTGCAGACAAGCGAAGATCTTGGCTTTGTTCGGAGCTTCGGAAGAACAAATTAGGAGAGCATTGTGGTCAACCTCCTCCTCGTGCATGAGTTGAGCATATGCTTCTTTGGTGGAGAAGTCGAGCCCATGGTTGAGGAATCTGAAGTTGGGCCGGTTCTCAAGGAAGAAGTCCTGCAACCGAGAGAGCAACAGATCCAACTACATAGTAGCAACATGGGTTAGGCGATTTTGCAGGTTAGTAAGTAAACCATTATGCAGTACATGTGAGACTACGGCGGCAGTGTTTGTAGAGTGGTTAAAAAGGTTAAGGAATTGGAGTTCCCAAGGGATTTGTTTGGAGGGAAAGGACTTACAAGAACACAATGGCCAGCACATCCAACTTTGGAGCGGCCTCGTTACGAGATGGTATGTAGTGTCTCCTTTATTGATACGAAAACAAAAACATGGGGTGGATACAAATGTGTGGCTTCCACAATGCCCGCACGATAGATAAATATGATTGAAATTACCATGTACATCTACCCTAGAAAACTCGTTATTACATCATAAATATTATGAAA